GAGCCCCCCCCCCCCACCACCACACACACTATTCTCCCTCCCCCTCTGACGACTCCCCTCTCTCACCTATACTCCCCTTCCTTCTCGGTCTCCGGTCGCTGCTGGAGTGAGATCGCAGCTTCCTCCTGGCTCGCGACCGCACCGGCAGCCACTTCATCTCTCAAGATCTTCTCCGATCATTTTCCTTTCTTTCTTCTTCTTCTTATGGAGCAGCATCCTCCGAGAGCTTAGCTCACCTAGATTCTCTGCCTCCTATACTTGTACTCGTGCTGTAGCAACCCTCTCTCTCTCTCTCTCCCTCTCTCTATCTATCTATCTATCTATCTGTCTTCCCCCTCTGCACTCCCCATCTCCCTATCCCACTCGCATCCTCTTCCACGGTTGCCTCTTCCTCTGGACCGTCGCGCATCCACTCGCCAAAAACTGTCCAAACTAGGTGCTCGTGTCGTAAAAGTCATAACTTTCGCGATACAGAACGACGTCGACGACGCCGCTCCGCACGCTCGATCGACCTCGTGCACCAGCTATACCTAATACGGCTTCCTGATGTTGAGGATGTCCATCCACTTGGCGAAATTTAAGGACATTACCGAGATGGGGTGTTCACATAATTTACGGGGCGCATTTAATTTACGGCGTTTTTATTGGTTTAGGAATATCGTCCTGTCGAATCTTTGCTTTTATTTTGGAAAATTTGCATCAGACGTGTTGCGACTCACCGGTATGCTGGACCTTGTCCACGTCCTAGGTAGCATCCCGTCCATGCGACCATGGGGTTGATGAGGAAAGTGAGGGTACCGAGGGTAGGACATACATCGCTAGTGAACCCAAGAGGGTGGTGCAGCAGGGGCTGCAGCATTGCCGCTGACGTAGACACCCGCAGACGTGTTACCGGCTACGGAGCCTACAGGAATATTCTGTCCAGAACCGACGCCTTGGCCGACGCTCGCGTCGGTCACCTGAACCGCCGCGGCGCCCATGACGCCCTGCTGGAAATTGAAATCCAGCGTGCCGTCCATGGACAGTTCATGCTTGATGACCTGCAACGTAACAAACCAGCCCGTTGTAAGGTCATTGTACTCGGAAGCTCAGATGGTAATTGCTGATTAAAGATTACCTCATCCACGTTGCAATCGAAACCACCATGCAACGTCTCGATGTTGATATTGAGATCATCGAGAAGCGTGGCGTTGTTCAATGCACCCATCAGCTGACCCATCATTGTGCTAGGGGTGGGTGTACAAGGGGTGGGTGTATGAGGTGGACTGGGTCCTCCAGGTCCCGTCTGAGCCTGCTGTTGCTGCTGCTGTTGCTGCTGTTGCTGCTGCTGCTGCTGCTGCTGGCGCTGCTGGCTCTGGATAAGATACTGCAGAGACTGCTGCTGGGCGCTGCTCAGTGGCGAAGGACTCGGCTCGTTCTGCGGGTACGAAGGCGACATCCTCGAGACAGGACTCAGATTCTGCGACATAGGAAAACAGTTCGTGGTCGAACCGTCATCCGTCGTGGGAGAAAATACGAGGAAGTCCGGAAGTCGATCACCGACCATTTGGCAAGCGCAGGACTGCAAACGATGCAGAGGACATCTCTGTTGGCTGGCTGACTGCGGCGTCGGCGGCAAGCCGTAGGACGAGGGTCCAGTGCGAAGGGAGTTGCTCCTCTGGTACTGGGCTTCGAAGTAAGACGGAGGCGGCCCGGTTTGCTGCTGATGATTCGGCGGTGACGTCTGGTACAGCTGATAGGACTCCAACTTCATCGTTTCCGCTAGGCTGCCGGCTGCGAATTATTCAGTCAATTAATAATCCACCTATCGATTCACTCGGTTCAATCGTGGTCTCATCCAAGTACCTAGCTGTTCCGGACTGTAGGAAGGTGTGTAGGCCGGGGTCCAGTCTGGTTCGCCCAGGACGGCAGGTATAGGACTTAGTCTACCACAGGAGGAAGCGTTGCTCGATGCCCGAGGTCTTTAGAGAAGGTCAAATATTTCCTTTTCATTACAGCGAAGAATTCCTTATTGATGATCAATACTCACCGGAAGTCCGGCGACAGCTGGAAACCACTGGCCGATGGCAAAGGGCTATCCGGAAAGAGGTCCAGCCCTTCGCTGACGCTGCTACTCGGACTAGGTGTGGCGTCTGCTTGCAACCCCCCGTTTCTTAAGGCCTCCACCTTCTTCTTCACCCGGCCACGACGCTTCTCGAATTTACTTGTCTCCATCGACGTCGCCCTGACCAATTACGTCAAATTATTCACCTGTCCGCGCCTCCCCCCCTCCCCTCCATCACCCCATCACCCCGTCTATCTATATTCCCACTCTCGTGAACTCTGCACCCCCTCAATCAGTAAAATCCAATTGAACTGACCTTCGTCGCGCGGATTTGCCGGGTTTCGCGTCGGGGTTGATCATCCACCAGGAGCTCTTGCCGGTGCCTTCGTTTTGAACTCGCATGAATCTGTTGTGCAGGGACAGATTGTGTCTGATGGAATTCTGAAAGACACAAAAAAGATAAATTAGCTTTGTTGAGCGATGGTAATTAAAGCAAATAAAAGTATCGAATGTCATCGCTGTGGAAATATGTGACACCTTGCAAGTACATAGAGGCTCATACGCGCATGCGTATGGCCAAAATTGAAAGACAACTTTCCGGACCGGCGCAAGGACCGGACGAGCGTGGACGATGGCAGAAAGCCCCTGGTGCCCAATTATCCAAATTAAGCAATTATTACGTCTATGACGCAATGCCTGCTACTCGTCCCATACTCGTACGCATATTCACGCACACGCTTATTTACTATCCTGCTCCCGTTACGCAGTCACGCGTGTGCATATCGCTGATAAGCGCAAAGCCTACCACGCCACATGCTAGACCAACATAGGTGTCACATCTAAGAGACTATATTTCCAGGCTCTATCACCAGCCATTATCCATACTTCACAAATTGATGCAGTGCAGGGCAAAAGAACGTCTTTTCAATTACAAATTTTGCAAAAAAAAATTTTTATTCGTATTTTACATTCGCCGTGTCACGGTACGTGATACCTGAAATATCCTTATCATTCAAAAGTATCGCGTTACGATTCTCCCAGGATGATAAGAGGAGGATATAAAAATTTCGCGCGGAGTGAAGAAAAAAAAAAAAAGAAAAATCGTTCCTGGATGTGAATATGAGAAAAATGTGCTAATTCGCATATAGAGACGACGCCGTCCTTACAGCTCGCAGCTTAGGAGACTCCGCGGTGCCGCGTCAGACACAATGGCCCAGGAATGTCTTTACAGGGACGTTAAGCGGCCGATTTCTCCCGGTTCCTACTTTCTGCATCTAGCGGGAATTGCGGCTGATCGGCAAGGACGTCCCGACCGCGCAGAGATGACAAAGCAGAAAAGCATCCACTGGCAGCAGCCATGAGCGAAGCCATAGCGGGACTTTACAACCCTATCATCTGCGCGCCTTTATCGACGGTACGCTTGGAAGATGAAGACATTTTCGGCGCCACCATTCCGATTTTTAGGTCCGACCATTCATAGGGAAAAAAGGCACGAGTGGGACGAAGCGAGACGACGAGGCGAGGCGACGCGAGCGACGGAGAAGCGAGATGCTGCATAACTAAGGACACAGTGGTTTTCACTGTAACCCGGAAACGAAGCGCCGGACCTCTCGGCACCCTTTGCTCGGCCATCTCCTCTTCCTTTGTCTGGCGCACCAGGATTACGAAGGACGTAAACGACCAAACTTATACTGGAAACCGTTACTTGCGATCCAATCAGATGTCTCGCGTACCGCTTCAGGGACAAATTCCTACCGGAAGTACAGTTCCGTAACTGCAGTACGAATATTGCGTAAAGGACCCTACGTTTCCCGATTTCTCGAAGTATTCTTCCGGCATCGAATCTTCCGCATGGATTCCGTTCCTCCGTGTCTCCTGGTTCTTGGGAGCCACGTGGGATTATTTTTGAAAAAAAAAAAGTCAAAACAAAAACTGAAGGCAGGAACTGGAGAATGGAAATTCTACGTTTCGATAGAGGCGACACGTCCCGGAAGCTATAAGATAGGAGCTGCGGTCGCTGCTTCCTGAAGACATTCGTGCCGAAGATAACAAAAGATATATTAAAAAAAAAAAGTATAAAACCACGGTAAATAGAGATATCAGAGGGATCTTCGTGCAGACAGATAAGTAGCCCATCAGAAGGGAAATTAGGTTCTGAAATTTTCCTCGGGATCGGAGGAATGCAATGGAAGACGGTATACGCACAGGCTTACTTCCGGTAACATGTGCTCTCTGTTTCCAAACTAGGGTAAAAAGTTTCCTAGACACTTGCGTATAATGCCTTGAAAATAAAGCCATATAGGTTTATACGTGCCATTTGGATTCACGTATTTATACTTCGCTTTCTCTATCGCCCGCCCGGGGGGAGGCTGCCCGGTCACCATTTCCAATATGACGATTTCGAGGCTTCCGTGGATCCTCGGATGATTCATTTCCTTTCCGCAGAGGGGGAAACACGTGCCCGTATATGTATATATGCCTATTGTCAAAAGTTGAGAGTTCCTATAGTACGGCATAAGAGCCATATATTCTATCCTCCTTACCGGGACAGTTAAATGTCCTTCCTTATATTGCTCCTACGTCTGGACAGTACCAGCAGTTAAGCAGTTAAACTCCCGATAGTTCGCATTTCTTGATACGACCCCTTGGACGCTCTTTATGGACGACGCTCGACGTCGAATAGACGAAATGGACGTATCGTCGGTTAAAGGGACCAAAGGAACTCATTCGACTGGGTCAATTCCTCTCTGTGTAGCCCTGCGTAAGAGCTCTACCGTACAGCGAGTGCTTCGATGCTTGTATAATAGCGGATTTCAAATTCACCGCCGCTACAAGTACCTACGAGAGTTTTGCGTTGGACAATTAGGAAAAATAATAATACTTACTTAATACATAAATAAAGTGCACGAGTAGCCAAGTACGTAGAAAAGTGATCGAGTCTGCCGAGGATATCCGAAGATATCCGAAGAAGACTTCATTTACGATGCGAGTTATCTCGCCGCTGAGAGTAGCTGATATCGCGCTGGACCAGTGGTAGACGGATGCATAAAAGTGTCGCCGACTCGCCGTTGGTCCGCACACAAACGGGATAAATAGGGATAAGACTCGATGCTCCGTAGCTAAGTCGTGGAGTGGGGGCAAGGGACGATAAAAGTATAAGGGTAGGTAACCCAAAGGGAGAAAAAGAAGAGAAATGGAGTATGAGAGGACTGGAGGGGGGAATCTCGTGAGAAACGAACTGCCCAGGGCAAAACTTTTACTTTGATTGGGATTGGGGTTGAAACTGTAGTTAAAACTTGCCGAGACGTAACTATAGTATATGTTCCGGTACTTTTATTATTTCATGTAAAAAAAAAAAAAGAAAACATGTCACATGCTATAAGCGCGTAAGAGTAATCCCGTTGAAACGATCCCATGGGTTTTACGAGAATATTCGAAAATTGGCTACACTGGACAAAAAAAAATTTGGCTTCCATTTACATCGCCGGTCCGAATAACTGAAAATTCGGTAAACTGGAATATTCGATAAGATTCGAGAGGCTCTTAAATTTTTAACGTGAACCTGCGTACCTGTCAATCGAATGGGGTTCACGTACGATCACACGCGAGGAAGCCAACAAGAGACATTGGATGCCGAGTGAATAGGAGGAGGAAGGAGAGGACGCACGCTTAGCCGGAAGTATTCCACTCTTATTCCGATAGCTGAGAAGTGGGTGGACAGGTATTGTGATCGATGCGAACCAAACTAAGCCATATTACATATAGTACGTGTATTTATACATAGGTATATATATATATATATATATATAAGCCACGACCAAACACAAATGCATATGTACATAAATAATGAAGAAGTAGCCCATAGCTTCTAGGGACTATTCGAGGCAATTTGCTATAGATACGTGTACTGACATCATTTTTCATACAGTACGTACCTGTACGTATAGTATATTGTGCGAATGACGTGCTAAGGGCAGCCACCGGCAGGTTAATTTGTGAAAAGAGAAAAATAAAGACAAGAGGGTATACCCTCCTATAGGAAAAATAAAGGATATTAAAAATGTCTTAAACGATTTTTTTTTTTTTTTCGATCATGCTCGGTAATGACGATCAGGGCGAAGCCACGACGTCCGCGAGATTGAGTTTACCGAGTTACTGACGTAATGGCGATGGGAATTTACCGAAGATCGATCGGTGGTCAAACAAAAGTGAAAGAGTGTGCCTTGGGTCCTTGAATTCTTTTTTCTTCTTTTATTTTTCCCCATTATCAATATTCCTCCTTATCTCTACGCATAGAATCGTTGCCGCTTTGTTGCGCGATATTGTCGCTAGGTGTCTCTAGAAGGAAATGGGTGGAACTGGGTTTTTGCATAAAAATATTTACAGGACATATATGGGCGTTAACTGGTGTTTTCTTATGTGGCGACAGAAATCGCGGGGCTGCGTCGTATAACGCGACAGGAAATCCCGAGGAGGAGAATCTTGCGGTTTGATGACTGTGTGCTGTTATCAGCAGGAAGCGGATCTACCAAAGGTATAATTGGACACGGATGGCAAAGGATATTGACCTGATGGACATTATGGTCACGTGTGTCCTGATAGTACGTTCGGAAAATGTCTACCTGCCTTTGTATCTCTCTTTTTCTTTCTCTTTCTGTTTCTATGTATATGTGTATATTGCGTATATCTTATGACGTCATTTTTGATCAGAAGGTATGCCCTCGGGTCGATTCGTGCAGTTACGCCAATGCTCTCCGGAAGATCTGCTATTGTTTAGATACGGTTAAGGGCAGCAGAGGAATTCTCGATAACTCTGAAGTATACCAGAAACCTTAACAAGATTCCCTTTCCTTAAATATATATATATATATCTTTTGCCCGATACGGAAGCCAAAGGAAGACCCTTATAGATATCTATATATATAGACATACACGTATGGGATACGAGGGTGGGTAGGTCATCGCGCATAAGCGTCCACGAGTTATAAGACGTTTTTATTGTGATAAACACCGACAGTAAAGATTCTCTTTTGGGTGCTTTCTATGCCAACGAGGGAAACGGGGGTGGGATGTGACATCGGCAAGGATTCGCAGCCTAACCCAGATTTTAACTGCAGACGATTTAGCACCGAATCGGTTTTCACGTAAATCCGCGACAAGTCGCACAACCCTTAGTGAGACGAACAATTCCAGGAATGGCCTGGGAATTCATCTCGTTATACATTCAAGAGATGTATTATGATGCTGGATGTTAATCCCTTGTTCGTCGAGTTCTTATTAAGAAATCAGGGTTCAAGAAAAAGTGTAAAAACGCGAAGTCGAATTACGGGGACAAGCTAGACCATCCCTCCACCTTTTGCTGAAGGGTGGAAAATTGTAACTTTGAGGAGTTGTGACGTAATTTTTCGATTCGCGGTCTGATGATTGTCGTTGATTCGTGC